TCAAGGATACTAAAACTTTGTGCTATTCCATAATAAATGGGAGGAGTACATTCAGAATCTCATCAGTGAATGTGATCTGATTGTTTGAACTTGTTGCCACATTTCTCTCCAAATGTGGGCACTGCACAGCATTTATACCAATTAAATGATCATTAACTGCTTGACAAGGGCTGAAGGGTCACTACTGCAGGTGCATTATAATTGCCCAATTTTCATTGCAGTTGACACATTTTCCAGAATGCTAACATTGATTTGAGATTTACCAATTACAGAGTAATTTTTGCTAGGTGATAAACCATGATAATTTGTTTAAAGAGAGAATTTAGTCAGTAGAGATAGTTGAAAAGGAAAATTTCTGTTAGGTACAGCCATTACTGTAAATATTGTGTATTTGCATGTTTATATTTCCCCTGATTAATTGATTCATACATCATATAGTTCAATAAATAGTCATGGCTCACTTTAGCTAATTATAAACGCGTTTGAGAGCTGAAAGCGAAGAACAGATATACTTGAATAAAAGCAAATTGCTGGAAATCTGAAACAAACAATATTGGAGAAATTCAGTAGATCTGGCAGCATCTGTACAGAAAATTAGAGCTAACGTTGAAGTCCAGTGTGACTCTTCAGAACTAAAGAGTCAAATGCCATCTGCTCATTCCTTGGATAAAACAACATAGCTGTGTGCATGTAGTAATAAAAACAGTAGTTTCGGCCTTCTTGTGGTGCAGCGGTAGTGTCCCTGCCCCTGAACAGAGAGACCTGGGTTCAAGTCCCACCTGCTCTGGAGGTGTGTAATAATATCTCTCAAGTGGATTAGAAAAATAGGTAAAAACTGTAATTCCTAGCTTTAAATCAAAACCAAGGATATTGTGACCATTATTGTATCTTCATATACACGGTGTAAGTGTGCAGCACAAAGCGTACTGACCGTACACAATCAAATTGAAGTGGCTTTTTACAACTTTCAACAATACCACAAAATTGAATTCATGCAAATGAGAAGCCTGCAGCATCAACATTAACACACCACACTGCATGCAGCACATTTTGCATAATAATCCACTTTATGGCTTTAAATTATTCTTTGAAGCCACAATGTTAACATTTAATTACATTTAAAATGTAACATTCACCTCTTCTGGGATTGTGATCTTTAACGTAGCAAAGTCATGATAGTTTGTTTAAATTTATGCTAAAAATTGCCAAAGGAATTGTTTTGACCATCTGTGATACAATTACTGGAATAAATTTAACATTGTACATTATCAGGAGACTGAGACTGATCTTTCTTCACTAAGGGGATCGCAGTTAACATCCTGCAACTAAACTAGAAAGCTTATCGAAATTATTCCGAATGGATTTTACACAATAAACCTTGCACATGTTCTGAATCCTTACTTGAAAGTTGTAGAATTCTGATTTTAGACTCAAGCACATTAGTGGTACAATTTGTTCGGATCGATACAATGAGAAATCAATAACACTTCATACATACCTGTATGTGCATGCGTACATGTGGGCACACATGTGTTTCTGTATAAGGAGGTCAATAGTGAATGGCATGCTGTCAAAATATTACATTCACAGGCTAGACAGGTATCAATGTGGACAATGTGGACTTCACAAGCTTCAAAATCTCCCCTCCCCCAACTGCATCCCAAAACCAGCCCAGCTTGTCCCCACCTCCCTAACCTGTCCTTCCTCCCACCTATCCCCTCCTCAAGCCCCACCTCCATCTCCTACCTACTAGCCTCATCCCACCCCCTTGACCTGTCCATCCTTCCTGGACTGACCTAACACCTCCCCAACTCCCCACCTACACTCACCTTTACTGGCTCCATCCCCGCCTCTTTGACCTGTCTGTCTCCTCTATCCACATCTTCTATCCACCTCCCCCTCTCTCCCTATTTATTTCAGAATCCCCTTCCCCTCCCCCATTTCTGAAGGAGGGTCTAGGCCCAAAACATCAGCTTTCCTGCTCCTCTGATTCTGCTTGGCCTGCTGTGTTCATCCAGCTCTACACCTTGTTATCTCATATTCACAGGCTAAACAGGATTGGGGGAGGAACAACAGAATGTTTCACCAGGCCTGATTGTTATCGGTAGTACCTACTCAATAGGAGTACAGATCTGTACATTGATACATTTAACTTTTAAACATACACATTGACAATAGCTATTTGGGAAGACAACAGAGGATATGTACCATACAAAAAAAAAAGCACTATTTAGAATGCTAAATAGGGAGACAAAATAATGGTTCCTACGGAAATTAGGAAGTGACATACACAGTATTGTTAACAGAAATCTTTAATGGAAAATAATATCTAAGCTAACTCAAGGGATACAAAATAGAGTTACAAAAAAGTTGAACAGTTTCCTCAATGAAGAAATACAAAAAGGCAGTTGGGAGCAGGTATTTGAGGATATTCTAGTGGGAGATTCATTCTTAATTCAGACAACCTGCACAGCACTGACAATGTCACCTAGAAGGGAGATGAAATGTTTGCATGAAAACCAGTCAGCTCGGCGAACCAACCAACAATTCCAACCGCAATCCAAGCTACAGATCTTCGTTAAATGATTAAACACCCTTCTATTGATTGGCAAAATCCAAACAATTTAGAATCAGGAGATAATAAATGTAATGCACAGGTGCTTTATGAATTTGTAAAGGAAGCCATAAGAGATGGTGTTTATCTTGACCTAATAATTGTAAATGATGTGTATGATGTACAGGAAATGTAAGTTGCAACATTTCTGAAAGACAGTGATTAAAAAGTGATCAAATATGACCTGACACTTCGATTTATTAAAGAGCAGGAACCAAATCAAATTTAATTAAGTTTTAATTTCTAAGAATGAAAGTAAATGGATTGGAAGTGAATTGTCTTCATTTTCCAAGTGGAAGAACAACAATTAACATGGCTAACAGAAACTTAATTACATAACCAAGAATATAGCACAAAACCAAGCAAGATGTGATCAAACCGTACAATGCTCTCGTCCAACTGCATGTTTTCTTGGATGTGAATAATCAAAAATGGAAAACGGCAATATGATGAGGGTCAACTGATGAGCTATCACGGCACTCACATTATCATCAAGAGTTCACATAATCTCAAAGCACAGAACTTGGATAGGATTTGTTAACAGAGTGTTGGAAGGGATGTAGGTGCATAACAGATCAAAATTGAGGAAGCATTTCTGAACACAATTAGTTCTGAGACTACAAATGTCAAAGACATGGAGCTGGATTTGATCCTCCTCAGTTCCCTGTAACCTAGTGTAAATTTCTGGAGTGAGCTTGCCTCTGCTTGGCTGGCTGGCTCTGCTTTAATCATTTACGCGACAGCACTTTAATTACTATAAGGAGAGACTTCAGCCCCTCTCCAGGAGAAAGTCCGCTTCAGAGCTGCCAGCCAATAACAGCACTGCCGTTCTGCTCTATTTAATGACCACAGGAATCGTGATGCTCAATTAACCTGCACCAACTGTTTCCAATGTAGGAAGTACACAAATTTCATGCTGCCTGCTTTCTTGAACAATTGTAGCATGCAGCCCAACATTAATCACATTGTTAAGTAGCTGCACTACAGGGTAGGAAACCTAAGATTTGGAGAGGCTATCATTCAAATCCACTCTGCACTTCTTAAAAGGAATCTACATTTTAGCTGCAAACATGAGAAGTGATGTTGTCTGACTTGCTAGAAGAGGAGGGGGAAGAGGGTCAGAGACCTCAAAGAATCCTAGATGCTACAGAAGGCAATGTGGAGAAGCAATGTCCTCTATCCGCAGGGATCCAGAAGGCCACCCAGAAAGACATTGCAAAAGTATTGTTTTAAAAAAAAAGCCAATACAGAAAATGATAGCAGTCCAGCCCTTGAGACCTGGATGGAGTCAGGCAATAGGTTCACAGTGACTTCACATGAATTAATCTAACGAGTTTAGTAAATGTACTTTTAGATACCGTACCTTATTAGCTGCTGCAGTAGCCTGCTGAACATACTAGGCCCTGCCGCTTGGTTACCAACAGTCTATATTAGCTATGACTCATAGCTCACTTTCAAAGCTTCACCTCACTTGCCTATACTTAGCACAACCACAAGCCACATCCACATCTCTTGGTTTACATATTCCCAGCTATTTAACCATGAAACTAATATCACCCGATTCATTACACCATAATTACTGATATACTGTCCTCTTTCTTAAAGGACAATGTGGCACCTCAACCATGGGCTTTGACACTTACCTCGAACAGGGATTGGGCGTGGCTGCATGTCCTTAACTTGTTGAGGACGTGTCTCAAGATTCTTTGTAGACTTTGACATCTTTAAACAACTTTTCTTTGTTTAGAAATAATATTCCATTGAGTTCAAAATCAACCCAGACAAATGAAGTTTTCCTCATTCAATCTGGCAGCTTTTAATGATTCTAAACAAGACAGGCCATGGGAGGTTCAATGCAGGCTCCAGTGGGTGAGAACCCACACCACATTAAATTGCTACTATTAGACATTACAACATGACTAAGTACTATTTAATCTTCAGACTTTCTGGCTGCTATTATTCATAATCCCCAACGGATTGAAAACCAAGTTTACATATTATAAAATGGTGAATGTCAATTGACAGAATAAAATATGCCATAATCAGAAATAACATCTAAAGAATGCACTCTTTCATAGAAGTGCTTATCTGAAATCTTGGGATTATCTACTTAGAATACTGATAATTCTGTCTTTTTCTAACTGTCCAACCTTCTGTCCCATGATTGTGTTTTCATTCACGCCAGATCTTTCAAACTGAGCTGTGCCAGTTGCATATTATGGTCCTTTCAATCTAATTACACATAATCACTGTAATTTATAAATGATTACATAAGTACTGTAGAAATAATCACAATTCTTGGCAGTTCTTTGAAGCCTACAACACTTGATCAGTTCGACTGCCTTTGCCATGCAGTTTGGCAACTTCAGGTATTGAATAAACCTACCTGACCAAATTGCTCACAAGGTGTCTGGTATTCTGCCTTCTGGCAAAGATCTTTCACTCTTTCATGCTTAGGTAGGAAATTTTCCTCTTGGCTGTTCTTGCGTTCATCCCTCTTGTGCAGCAGTTTACTAACAAAATAAAAAAAAACACTGCTCATTTAATATTTGCTATCACAATGACTAAAATAATAATTTGAAGAAAAATTCATATTTATGCTTAAAGGGGACTTTAATAACATACCCTCTTTCCACAAGAAAAGAATCTCGCCAAATCTTTGTTTTCTTGTTTGAATTGAACCTGAGAATTAAATAATCATTACATCATTGAACGGAGCTCATATTTATATGTTCTATCAGTGCAATTGGCATTCCATTTTAGACGTATTATAATTTGAACAATCAAAGTAGTAACTGATTGAAATTAACCTGCTTCAGTGAAGATTAGATTACCATTAGCTAGATTTAATCTATAGCCCTGTGATGATTATTCAGCAATTAACATTACCACTGATCTGAAAACCAATTAGATACAAGATCCACAATTGTGTTGTGGAAACAAAACAGTGCAAATGTTAGAAATCTGAAATAAAAATGCTGGAAATAAGTAGTGAGTCAAGTAGCATCTGTGGAGAGAGAAACAAAGTTAAAAATCGTTCTGAAACTTTAATTCTGAGGAGAATCTTCTCACCATAGTCTCTCCTGGAAGGGCTGAAACATTGTTTCAGAGATAGTAGGAACTGCAGATGCAGGAGAATCTGAGATAACAAGGTGTAGAGCTGGATGAACACAGCAGGCCAAGCAGCATCATAGGAGCAGGAAGGCTGACATTTTGGGACTAGACCCTTCTTCAGAAATGGGGGAGGGGAAGGGGGTTCTGAAATAAATAGGGAGAGAGGGGGAGGCGGATAGAAGATGGATGGAGGAGAAGATAGGTGGAGAGGAAACAGACCGGTCAATGAGGTGGGGATGGAGCCAGTAAAAGGTGAGTGTAGGTGGGGAGTTAGGGAGGGGATAGGTCAGTCCAGGGAGGACGGACAGGTCAAGGGGATGGGATGAGGCTAGTAGGTAGGAGATGGAGGTGGGGCTTGAGGTGGGAGGGGGGGGGGATAGGTGGGAGGAAGGACAGGTTAGGGAGGCGGGGACAAGCTGGGCTGGTTTTGGGATGCAGTAGGGGGAGGGGAGATTTTGAAGCTTGTGAAGTCCACATTGATACCATTGGGCTGCAGGGTTCCCAAGCGGAATATGAGGTGCTGTTCCTGCAACCTTCGGGTAACATCATTGTAGCACTGCAGGAGGCCCAGGATGGACACGTCATCTGCGGAATGGGAGGAGGAGTTGAAATAGTTCGCGACTGGGAGGTGCAGTTGTTTAGTGCGAACCAAGCGTAGGTGTTTTGCAAAGCAGTCCCCAAGCCTCCGCTTGGTTTCCCCGATGTAGACGTGGCCACAACGGGTACAGCGGATGCAGTATACCACATTGGCAGATGTGCAGGTGAACATCTGCTTGATGTGGAAAGTCTTCTTGGGGCCTGGGATGGGGGTGAGGGGGGAGGTGTAGGGGCAGGTGTAGCACTTCCTGCGGTTGCAGGGAAAAGTGCCGGGTGAAGTGGGGCTGGAGGGGAGTGTGAAGCAGACAAGGGAGTCACGGAGAAAGCGGTCCCTCCGGAAAGCAGATAAAAGGTGGTGGGGTCGGATTGCAGATGGCGGAAGTGTCGGAGGATGATGCGTTGGATCCAGAGGTTGGTGGGGTGGTACGTGAGGACGAAGGGAATTCTTTTTTGGTTGTTATTGCCGGGAGTGGGTGTGAGGAATGAGTTGCGGGAAATGCAGGAGACATGGTCGAGGGCGTTCTCGACCACTGACGGGGGGGGGATGTTGCGGTCCTTGAAAAACAAGGACATCTGAGATGTACAGGAGTGGAATGCCTCATCCTGGGAGCAGATGCGGCAGAGGCGAAGGAATTGGGAATAGGGGATGGCATTTTTGCAGGAAGGTGGGTGGGAGGTGGTGTATTCTGGGTGGCTGTGGGAGTCGGTGGGCTTGAAATGGATATTGGTTTCTAAAACATTTTCAGGTTTGCATCAAGACTCTCTGCCCAGCATGACCAACAGTTGCTCCTCACTAGGGAGCCAAGAAACAAATACCATTGTCCCTCCAACTTGAAGGGTGAAAAGAGTGACAAACTCGTTCTCTTAAAGAAAAGTTTCTAAAGGAAGGGCATGTTTTTAGAAAAACTTAGTAGAACTGGGATTTTCTAGACTGCAGGCACCGACTGGAATGGTGCTGAGACCTGGGAAGGCTGACACCTGGATTTGTCTCTCTCTTATCTGCGTGATCTGATGGGCTGCAGTGAGGGAAACTCTCCAAAGATGGACAGAGAAAACTAACTTCTCCAAGCAAGGAGACATAGATAGATTTAGTCTATGGCCCAATTAAATCAGGTAACTGCTTCCTTCAAACTGGAGACTATGCACAAAGAGGATCCATGACCTGGATCCTCTTGGGGACAAGAAAAATAAAAGTGGCAGAATACTTTCAGCTGGCAAGTTTCACATTTGGATTTACCCAACATGATTTTTCTTAGGACAATGCACTTTGCAGGTCCACTCATTCCTCTCTGTGCAGACACTGCCTCGTATCACCATCTGAACAGCCAACATTCTCACTCACCCTCATCCCCTATTGCCACTTCACACTCATATTTCTGTTATCTTCCACTAATTAGGTCCTCCTTTCCTTTAGAAGGTGGGGAAGGCGAAGTGTGAGGCTAGTGGTGGCACTCCAATTGCAGGCACATTATTGGCCTTTGGCAATGCATAACCGACATTCCATTGGGAAAGAGGTCTTATTCCTGGTGTCTGCGGATATCAACAAAGAACTACAGAAGATCTCCCCAGGTACTGAAATTCAAACATGATAAGAAAGTTGATCCTAGGCTGAGCGGCTTTGTCGCCTGCTGATGGATTGTGGTGTCCATCTCCTCTCTCCGAGGATAACGCAGCTCTGCTACTTTCTTCTCAATGGATGCTTAGCTGCCCAAGGTGCTTTCATGCTGCTGTGAAGGCTGGCAGTACAGAAATAAAGCTGCAGATGAATGGCATTTCCTCCAAGTTGGTAATCATCTGTCAAGAAGTGAACACACTCTCTAAGAACAGTAAGATCTCAACAGCCATGGCTCCAGCTCTTCAGTCTCATTGATTGATGCTTCTTCAGCTTGTCAGTTTCACTTCCTGGTGTGCAATTACCCCAGTGATCCAGGTGGGTAACTGACAAGTCAGGAAAATGTCCACTGGCGAGGAAATCTAGACCTTGAGGTTAAAATACTTCAAAATTGGTTTGACAACCTCAAGCCATTTCTTAGTCATCTGGACGATAGATCTTAGGGAGCTCCCTGCTCACCTCTAATACCACTCCAGTGAAAGCTGAAAAGGGAAACATCATGTTGGGATCCCAAACTAATGTCTATTTTTTGGGATGTTCCCACACTGCTCACCCCTGGACCAACCTCCACTAGTTTGAAAGAATTCTATTTTCTAACAGGTACTACCATATCTACCTATTGCTTCTAGCATTTCCAGCTCAACTATTGCATTAGCTCAGAAAAACTGAGCTGTTCCCTGGACCTGGAAGATATGATTGCACTGTAACAGTTTAGCTAGATGCTATGCCATTGCACTCATTATTTAATTAGTTCACATATCGACACAAGTGTTGATATTAATACATGTGGCCTAATAACAAAAAAGCTTAATTATTTGTTGTACAAATTAACAGATAGAATTGTGAAAAACAAACATTTCACGGGTTAGAAAGTACAGAACCTAAACTAATGATGAAACATTAAGACAGACCCCTTACAAAGATAATTATTCACCTTGAAAGCTATATCTCACACCATTTAACTTCTTTTAAGAAGCGTAAAACTTCAGTTTCACTGTTAGCTATTTCTCTGCTGTTAATACTGTGTTCTTATCACGAGGTATTCAGCTCCAAAATCAGTGCCAATACCTTAAACTTGCAAAAACAACTGGAATTCACCACTTCTTAAAATAACTAGTACAGAGATACTTTTCAAAAGGTCAGTGTGGAAACCAATGGAGGTACATTGTTGATTGGCAAGTGTGCAAACTACCGTTGCTACTAAATAGACACACTTAAAGAGATTGCACAACTTTGACATACATGCAACTGAAATTCAGGCATTTTGAAAAATCTCATGGTTATTCCAAAACTCCAGTTTTTAAACACTTACATTCTATAGCAAAATATTATATGCTCAGGATAATAAATAAATGGTACATAATTTCCTTCATACAGTTCCACAATCAAATAGTCATATAGAGTCAGAGTCCTGCAGCGTGACAACTTCGGTCCAACTCGTCCACACTGACCAGACATCCCGATTTGAGTTAACATTTCGGGTACAGTGACCTGCTGAGCTTCCAGCAACTTCTGTTTTTGTTCCAGATTTACAGCATCCGCAGTTCTTTTGGTTTTTATCCCAATTTGACCTATTCCCATTTGCCAGCATTTGACCTCTAAACCCTTCCTATCCAGATGCTTTTTAAATGTTGTAATTGTACCCACCTCCACCACTTCCTCTGGCAGCTCATTCTATACACCACCCTCTGTGTGAAAAAGTTACCCCTCAGGTCCTTTTTAAATCTTTCCCCTCTCACCTTAAACCTGTGCTCCCTATGCTTGGACTCCCTCACTCTAGGAAAAAAGTCTTATCTGTTAGTGCTTTTTGAAAGATCTGATTGAAGGCCCATGCTTATATGTTCAATATCATATGTTCTTAAAGTGGTTGGTAATTATTGTCCTGCTGTGACCAGTTTTAATTAACTTTTTTTTGCTGGTGAAAAGATTGCTTGATGTAGCAATAAATGTAGTAACTCAATAGTAACTATAGTATGTTTATCAAGCTCAGACTCATTGATTTGAGGTTTTGAGCAAAGGAACAATCCTGGAAAAACTATAATGGCTTATCAGAATCCTACACAGTAGAAACAGTATTTGACTTATTTAGTCAATATAAAATTGTGGTCCTCTCACCTGTTGACCGGTTTTTCGGTGTCTAAAAGCTTTAGAATGGATTTGCCATCCATGTCAGCTGGAATGTCCAGACCGGCAATGTCTAAAATTGTTGGGGCAAGGTCTATATTTAGAACAAGTTGAGGAATTCTGGAAATAAACAACAAAAGGAATTATTCATAGTTCTGCATTGACCACTGTATTCAATAGTCAAGAAGTTCTGAACGATCTGCTAGAACAGCTAAAGTTGCTTTTGGTAGTCATTGGATTAACCAAATAAAACTTTTTCAAGAAATTATAATACTAGTAATCCCTACTCTTTCAGCCTAAAGCTCAATGAATCAGGAAATCATTACATCTGTACATCACCTGTTAATTCTAAACTGAATGAATAACATTAAAATTGAATCTATTCAAAACAATTGGGCTCGAAATTGAGGCATTGTCACAGTATCAGAGTGCAAATAGTGAACCTGAATAACTTGAGCTTTACCCTTATGGTTAAAGAGGCTATCTGATCCTTGCAAAGCATGCACACTTAAAAGTAAGAATCAGCTAAGAGGAAAATATTGCCCGTACATTTTCTTCTTAATACAGAAGTAGAAGACTCATCTCACTAACGATTCACTAATTGACTTCGATTAAAGGTGAAGCTTTCCTAATCTATAAGGGTCATTTACTAACCCCTGGGGAAACACACTGCTATTAACATGCGGAAAAGACCCTTAGAATGAACTTTAACACGCTGATTTCCCTTTTCTCTAGACATATTTTGCTTTTACTGAAGCACTTACTAATAACAAATAACAAAGTATCTTTATTGGGATAACTTTTTTTAAATCATCATGACTTCAGTCCTTCTGATATTAACACTCACTGTTCTGGGCAAGGTTTCCGCTGTATAAGAAACATTTCTTTTGCCTTTGTTCATGACAAAAATATTTAAACCATCATACATTTGAGGAGAGGGACTTTCTACATTTACTTTCACTAGCTCTTCAGCATTTTGCCTTATTAAAACAAGTAATTCCATATTATATGAAGAAGAAATTGTTTAAAATTAATATCCTGTATAGGATTGGCTGAAAAGCTTACTCATTAGACTTAATCTTTAAACTCAAGGGGATGTACCTATTTTTATCTATCTACCCTGGGTTAGAATGACTAGAACAACAGCAAATCTTTAATAATCCAGTCACAGTAAGACACATGAATTGTAGTTTTGATTTAATTTCTAATTATCATCAAATTGCACCATTATTAAACATGGGGGCTGAACAGAAAATCAGCATTCCACCTTTTTACTTAATTATTGTACTATGCAACAGATGAATCTCAGATTTTTACTGTCTAGCAATTCCTACCTTTCTTAATGGTCAAGGACGAAGAAAAGTCAACTAAACTGGTCATTTACATTTGGCAAAAAATGAAAAAATATAGCTGGTAAAACATTTTCAGGTCAGCGAGATCACACTGAATTCATTTCAGGCAATTATTAGAAAACCTGTTTTGTGATTTATGTGATACTGTAATGAGAATTCAAACAAGATTATCATTTTCTATCATTTTACCATTTCTAAGCTTCTCATTTGAATAATTACACCGCAGTACAGGGTCTGTTGTTTAGACAAACATAGCAGCATTTTGACACGTATCACAAAAAGCTGAGGTGAATGACCAATGAATCGGTTTTAGTTTGAAACATTGCTTTATTTACCCTACTCTACTTTAGAGTCACATGCCAACTTTAACATCCACCTGAAACTCAAACTCAGATGAGGTCTTGATTTCAAATTGGACACATAGAAGAATTATGTCTGGCAAACCAACATTTTCTTAGGATTCTGATGGACTGTTTGTTAACTTAGGCTATGTACAGAAAAATCATTTCTTCCCCTCAAAATAAATATCATTCTTTCAGGGGTTGTGGGCATTGCTGGCTGGGTCAGCATTTACTGCTCATTCAATTGGTTGATGCAAATAAAATGGAGCTTCTAGGACTGTTGTGATGTAGTGGTAGTGTCCCCATCTCTAGGTCAGGAGGCCCAGTTTCACATCTGAACGGGTTGATTGGAAAATACCTAAAACAGAAGTTCTCAAGAGTGAACATGAAATTACTGCTACTATCCACCTTATGGTCTTTGGCTCCTGGAATTGCTATAATTATATTCAATTCAGGTTTGATTATAGATTATCTTACATTGATCCTGGCTCCACATTGGGACCCCGCATGAAAAATGGCACTCGGATATCAATCTCATAGGGCATCGATTTTCCTTTCACTAGCCCAAACTGTCCAATGTGATAGCCATGGTCTGCTGTGTAAATGATGTACGTATTGTCCACTTCTCCTGTTTCAACAAGCATGTTATAGAGCTGAAAGATCAATGTAAATATTTAAGTTAGTGAAAAATTAAAATGTAATGAGAATCTACACCATCTATTTGTGGGTACTACTACCTGTACTTATTGTTACTCTGCTTAAATGTAATCTCGATTTCCTTCAAGTACAATGTTACGTTTTGACTATACTAGATTGATCTGTGTTAACAATAGAGAGCCAGAAGCAACTGATCCATTAACACTTCGATTAACCTACCCAACTTACTCATCTAAACAGCACAAGAAGCCCTGCTACATGTACAGTTCTTGTATTATATCCTACACCATTCCCTTCTTTTTGTATTAAATTCATCAGTGAGATTCTGCCATTGCAGACTAACCAACTGCAATATAGAGAAACCAAGCAGCAAATTTCCAAATGTGGAAAAAAAAAGTGATGTAAAGATTGAATTAATATCTCTTGATACCCAACTGCTTAATCCACAGAGCTTTTCATAAACGGAACATTTCTTCACCCTACCCCCCAAAATGCTCCCTCAATGGTTTCAGATGAGCAGATGGTTGCTCATCAGTGGACCTTTGAGATAATCAAGGCTGGTGATTCTTGGATACTCAGGTCCCAGAGCCTGACTGCAGACTGCTGCATTTGGAATTGTGGTGAGAAATTCAGGTCCAGCTGACTTTCTGGCACTGTGTTGGATACTAATTGACGCAGTGGTGATGGAACAAATATGCAGACATAATGAGAGGCGTTGGAAAATGCCAATCACATTGCATAGCTGCCACTGGATGGAGTTAGAGTTTATCACTGAACTAAGAAAGGGAATACAGCAGAAAATGTACAACCTCATGGGAAGCCCTACCTAGTTGCTCCATCAAGCTGTCCAAAGGGGAGATCTGCCTCTCCAAGCTGATGGTTTGAACCTAAAATCTGTGTGACAATGACTTGGGCTTCCATCAAAGCTAAAATTTGTTTCAATGTGCAATTCTGTTGTGAGGAATTCTGTTGGAGTTGCCATTATCACAAAAATATAATGCAGAGGGCAATATGATACCACAAATGTTGGAAACAGACTCCACCATGCTTTCAGCCACTGTGAATAAACCCCTCAGCACAACTTCTAATTCCTTATCACACTGATTCTGTGACTCCAGAAACTTTCTTCTCATTTCTGGGCTCTAAGTCATTAAAGAAACCCAAAGCAATAATTTCCTGTCAGAAATAAGTCTTAAGAGTGATAAATTAGGTTTACTTGTTCCTGTTTTTAATGAGTGTTATGAATGCTTTAGACTTTCAAAATTTCAGCCAGGTCCATCTGTATCTTTGTGAGGTGGGGGCATTAGCAGAATGCACCTAACTGTTCCAGAAGTGCAATCAGTAGATGGATTCTGAGCGATGTTGATCTGACACCAACTCATGTATTCCAGTTCATATCCTCTCTTAACCTTGTACAGTTTGACCACACATTCAGCAACAGGAAGCAACTCCCACCTGTGCTTATTAGAGATTGCATTAAGCTTAGTGGCTGAATGATTTATTCTGGTTGCTGTTTGATTCTACATGTGTTTGGTACTTTCTACGATGCCAAAATCCAACAGTAAATTGCAAGACAGGTTCTTAAGACAATTTTTAATGACCAAGATTTTTGCATAAACCTGTTGCTCCCAGACAATGGACACACGAGTAGGCATTCCCCCTTAGAATGCAGCATGACTTGGAGAACGAATGGAGGCTAAGCAGAGAGGAAGGAAGGAAATGGCTCTCATCAGAACACCATATCTCAGAGTCGGTTAGTATTTTTTCTACCTCACCATCAGTGAGGAACCATCTGTGAAATGTCATTTTGGATGTCCCAAGTGAAATTTTATATCTGCTGCTGCCATAAGGCATAACAAGAATGACATTGCTGGTGACTGTAAAGGTGACCATGAACAAGAATATGTGCATGTCTGAGTCCTGACACAGAGGATTTGGAGATATTTGTAATAATTCAAAGTATGTTGTCAGCAAATGCATAAGTGAAGTGACTGAGGGTCTCTTCTTAATGAGGGCCTCTTCTTAATGAGGGCTAACTAAATTTCATTGCTATTTGCCAAGAAGTGGACAGAGTGAGTATGTAACTTCACCAGGATCGCACATTTCCATAGGTTGAAGGATGTCAATGACTGTATGCATATCCTTTTGCAGACAGTGAATGTTAAGCCTCAAATAACAGAGACCTTGGCAAGCTTGCACAGAGATTCCAGAAAGTAACAAGCCAGGCAGATATGATGGGTAAAGGAGGCATTTATGAAATTCTTTCCTATACTCAATACTTCAGCTAACAACAAGAGGATAGAGATTATGCTAGAACTATATTAAATGTAAATAAGACATAGCTAGAGTATAATGCACAGTTCTGTACCATATTATACAGGAAGGTTACAAATGCAGAAAAAAGCCAATTATTCACTTTTGAGCACTTTCTTAGAGCCTGTCTTCTGTGCATCTTTGCTGTTTCTATTATTCCTATGCAGTGTCCTTTGTGATTAATGATAAGAGGTCATAGCCTCAGAAGATGTGGCTGCACACTGCACCATATCAGCATGAGCACTAACAGTTTGGGCTAACTGGCTGACAGGCAGCAACGGAGGCACTGGCAAAGTAGCAAGCATGGAGGATGAATTCTGATTTCTTGATGAGGAAATCAGATTTGTGCTCTAAGGAATTACCATCCCAGAGTCATACCTCAACAATCCTAGTTACTATGGGATTAACTACTCTGCTGCGATGCTGAAAATCATTTTGCACAGTGTAATTCACAGCCACGATGGCAGCAATCTAAGCCTGCAGTGACAGCAAGTGACCATGCACTGCAACATGAGGAGGTTGAGTTTCAATGGAAGCCCCCAAATCAGCCCTTGTACACTGCATCACAGTTGGGTCTGCAACTACGTGAATCGAGTTGGCTACCACATCTACAATGGAATGAGGGGCTCCAGGTTCTCTGCAAAACCTTGTAGAAATTGGTGCTGTACTCCTCCATACTCATTAATGACTACAGGTTCTGACAGGCTTCCCAAAGTAGCAATTATTTAATTGTGCATACCCATTAGCCTTTTACTGTAGGCTGCTCAGCTGAATTCTCTGCAGCAGAACCTTGCCATCCAGGGAACTGTCACCTATGCTGTCCCTGTGCCCTGCTCCATCTGCAGATCACTTGCAACCAGTGTCTTGCTGTATGCAGATCTCATAATTAACCATACTCAAAAATATGCAGTGTCAGTATCCAAGCTAATGGTTCGCAATGTGAATTTGTTGTTAGCCACTCACGATATTGCTGCTGATATATTTGATTAAACAGCAACATGGTTAGCACTAGTTTGATGCTGAAATGACTGAAGTATTGCAAGCAGTACAAGGATGGCAGCTGCCTGCATTGTAATCAACAGACATTAGTTAATCAAGCATATGTGATGATCCACGGAATAGTTTTAGGACAATCTAACACTCATCCTTTCTTTTGGTCAGAATTCTTAACTACTTCTTATGTAAGCTTGTTTCATAGAAAGTTATTGTCTATTTTCAAGCAAAAAAGATATTTTCTTGATGAAAACAATTACCAAGGTATAATTCCACTGTTTAAAAAAAATTCTAATCAACGTGTTCAGAGATATTATTCCACGCCTTTGGAGCAGGTGGGATTTGAACCCAGGTCTCTTAGCTCAGATAGAGGGTCACTACCACAGCCCCACAAGAACCTCAGAGGTTTTATTTCCCCAATTAAGGTGATTTCTAATGGAACAATGCACTTGTTAAAATAAGTTATATTGGCAGCACAGATGGACAAGCTCAGCAAGCAGAGTATATAAAAGAATCTGATTATTACATTAAGTTTCCAAATATAATTGCTAATCAATTAAGTTGTAAAACAAATACAGAAAAGTTGGATGCCTGCAGCAGGTCAATCAGCAGCTGTAATGAACAGACTGTCTATGTTTCAGGTGCAAAGCATTTGTCAGATCTTCTGAGTCAGGACAGCCACATGATGTCAGCTGGAGCTTGTGTCTGGCTGTTAGACAGAGGCAGGAATGAGAATCCTGCAGCAGCAGCTATTTCTCACATTCCCTCAGTGTCAGCCTATAATATTGCAAAATAATCAAGGGTTTGCCTCAGACAGTTAAATTAAGCTGGTCTTTACATTGCCAAATCCACTGTACAGGGATCTCTGTACATTTTTTTGCTGGCAATTGCACTGGCAACTATAATGTGGTTATTTTCCCTTAGCTTGGAAGATCAATGCTTCATAAAATAGAAGAGAGATTAGGGCTGATGTCATGTTTGCAGTTACCTGATCTGCTCCTCCAGACATCAAATAGATCAGTTCATCCTTCCTCTCTCACGGAATAATGCCAACCACAATGATTTTATCATTCTTGTTCTACTTCATGGAAATGTGTCACAGTGGGAATAGGACTTGTGATACTTTGTGGAAAAAAAAATGCTTATCCAGTGGTGATATTTGTTAGAGGTAACAACAGTGCAGTATGCTATGAATGTATATAATTTATCCACAGAGTCTCCTGTTGGAATGATTTGTCCAAGCAGTACTATTCAATGCTGGACTCTTATTTTGCAATATAACAATCATTTTAAAGAATGTTCGCGTAAAACATTTAATGGGAGTACAGATTTAAATAAACTTCTGGTGCTTAATTACTAAAGTCAAGAGGGAACTATGTTCCTAATGTAAGATAAAAAGGTGTAGAGCTGGATGAACACAGCAGGCCAAGCAGCATCAGAGAAGCAGGAAAGCTGACATTTCGGGTCTGGACCCTTTCTGAAGAAGGGTTCAGACCCGAAACGTCAGCTTTCCTGCTCCTCTGATGCTGCTTGGCCTGCTCTGTTCACCAGCTCTACACCTTGTTATCTCAGATTCTCTTGCATCGGCTGTTCCTGCTATCTATGTTCCTAATGTACCTATTGATGTAAAATGATACCAAACAAATAAAACTTTTGGTCTTGAAGATTCTCATCTTCATCTGCAGAGTGATTCATTCATGGGATGAAGTGTTGGGTGGCAAGCAGACGATCCCAAAGGTGGGGGAGGGGTAAGAAAGGTGACATGATGGATCACTTGATCCAATTTTGCAAAATATTTATAGGAATGCTCTCTCTTTCTTGCATGTGTGAACAATTTGCCTGTGTCATAACAATGACAGCGCTTGTTTGGGGGCGGTTAAATATCTAATGTAATTTGAGTTGGAAATTTTCAGGATACCTGTATGTTCAAGAAAAATCAAAATGTTTCAATATTAATGCATTTATAATTTCACCAAAAACATACCTTTTCCATCGATTCATCCACGGACATTAAAGTCTGCAGGCGCTTCCTCTGTAGCATATTAGTGAATTCCATGTGGATAGGTTTCATTGGGCCAGTATATCTCATGATCCAGTGCTTGTCTGGATTGGGTGCATAATTATAGCTGGGGGTACTGCAGATGTAATTTTAAAAACACAATTAATCTTAAAGATTTCTATAAATTGGATTTAGAGTGATATTAGATTCTTTGCATTTTTGATTACGTTTATGACACTAATTTTTAATATCACTGTATGTGCGGACCTAGATTTTTGTTTCTCTGCTCTCTTCACAAAATTAACATTTAGAACTTTCCCCCTTCTCACTGTTGTTTTATCAAAAGCTAATGCTACACATTTCATTAAATTGTGTGCACTGCCCACTCTGCCAACATGTTGATGCCATTCTGCATTTGCTTGCATTATTTCTTCAGTTTACCATGACAACTAATTTTGTGTCATCATAAAACTTGTGCCTATGCCTAAATTATTTATATAAATAGAGAGAACAGAGGTTTTAGCATAGATCTCAATGGGGTACCAGTATTTACATCCTGTCAATTCAAATACATTCATTTAATCCTACTGTGATATCTGTGCTCTAGCATTCACTCACTTTATATAGTTACATTCTCTTTCACACCATATGTTTCAATTTTCAACTTATTTTATGTGCCTTCTGAAAATGCATATTTCTCACATCAACTGAATTACCTCCATGTATTTCCTATAGAATATGCTACCAAAAAATGGTCAACACTAATCTTCCATGACTTGCCTTTCACAAAGCCATCCTGTCCATTACCAATTAGCCCATGAATTTTTAAGTGTTCACTAATTACTCCCTGTATACAGAATCAAGAATTTTACCCAACAATCCAGCTTAAGACCAGTCTCGATTTTAACACAGGAGAGGAAATTGGTGGTACAGATGCTTTAGGAGACTTCATCTGACTGCAGCCTAAAGCTAACAAGGTTGATGTCCTTAGCCAGGATGTAGCTGCTGAGTTGGAGGCACAATGGCCACTTAAATTACATTCCAGTTCCTCTGGGACAGCCAATCTTCCTCTACCTCAATTCAGGCAAATTAAGATGGTGCTGGATGGGATTATGGGTGGCTGGTTGTAGGAAATGAGTTGACTTGCCTTGCTGTCATGTTGGACACTTGTCTGGTTCAGTTTTGCTTTTGAAGATGGGGTTAAAATCAATCCCCAAACCAGAAAATTACAGGCGAAATTAAGCATAATTTTTTGATTTCTTTAGATCAGTTTTTCCAGCACTGCCATGTAGACATTAAGAATGAACATACATAGACAGAAACTGAAAGGTATTAGCTACATAATAGTTGCTGTTGAATTCAACAGAGAAGTACTTACATATAGATAGACAGATAGTGAGAGATAGTTAAACAACGAAGTTAGATGGTGAAATACATAAATGAGATAGTGAAATAGCTAGTGAGATAGGTAGAGAAATTTAGATAATCAAAGGTATTTAGAGATGTACTGAGGTAGAACAGATACAGACAGACAGCTGTAATTGTATCTGGATACAGAATTCTCCATTCTGAATATTGATATTTGCATATCTGTGTATTTGTGAAACATTCAATGATGTGTAAGGAAATGACCAATTGTAGTGATAGAACATAACAGGAGTACAAAACACAACATCTATTTGATGGCTTATTGAGAATTAACTCAGGTTTCTGGCACACAGGATGGCAAGATCAATACACGTCATTATAACATCAAAGGATATTAACAAAGATATTCTAAACAAATGAAACTGCATTAAGATTATTATAACAGTAACTTTTGAAATAAAGAACGTACAAGAAAATCTCGGATGAGAAAGGATACTTGTCTATCAATACTTCTCCATCCAAAGTCAATATCTAATTATTTCAGGATAGAATCTCTTCCACACTCCTTGTTGAAATGCTGCTTTGATGAAGCTGCATTTCTTTTCCACCTTCCTGGAAGAAAATCACTGAGTATTGTTGATATCTAGCACTCAAAATTTTCACAAATTATATTGATTCAGTTTCTTTTAAAGGTGTCCATTTATACCAAATTATCACCTCTCTCCAGGGACTGGTTTTGAACAACTATCCTGTAGGGGCAGAAGGAAATGATGATTTCTGAATAACTGCTCGACACGTTGTGAATTTTCCTTCTTTGTATTCTAGACCCATGCTCATGGTTGAAAAGAAAATAGCTTGTTGAATTTACCCTTCTCTGTAGATTTCATTATGAAGATCTGGATCAAACATGCCTCCTGTCAGTTTTTCTCCATTAAAATGAGTTCATTTGGCCTCACCATTGATCTGTGCATGCAATATCAATATAACTTTGATAACTTGTAATCCAATGTCTTAAAAGATACTTTTTTGTTTTTACTAACAATTGCCTCAATAATTTCACCATGACATCCAGGTCTCGTTGCACCTTATCTTTTCCTAAATTGCCAGCATTCACATAATAATCTGCCTTCCTGTTTTTGTGACCAAAGTGGATAATTTCACGTTTATCCACATTATATTGCATTTGCCAAATATTCGCCCATTCAGCCAGTGTTTCCAAGTCACCTTGCAGCCTCTTAGCATCGTCCTCACAGCACGCATTGCCACCCAGCTTAGTGTCATCTGCAAATTTGGAAATATTGTATTCAATTCCTTCATACAACTTTTTAATGTATATTGTGAACAGCTAGGATCCCAGCACTGAACTAACTGTAAAAGTAGTATCAATGCTAATAACACTATTATTTCTGTGCAAATCAAATAGCAACTTTGAGCAAGTACAGATGTGCATTTAACTGCAAAATCCAGAAGCTACGACTCCCGGAGGTTGATTGAAAATTACGCCCTCACTGACTGACTCCTCGTTCAAATGTATTTAACAAGCAGAGACGAAACTCACTACAGAATATTAAGGCTTATCTATTTCAGGCAAGTACCCTTTTTAACGCCTGGAAGTCTTAATTGTTGTCAAACAATCTCTTTGACATTCAAAATTAAATTTTATTAGTTTTAAGTGCCAATCTTTCTGATCCCATTTTTAATTGTGGGTTTAAGAGAAGAAAATAAATACTTATTTAAATAACATTTTTCAATCCAATCTTGCCTTCTCCGTTGTTTTTGACTGATCTGACATTCAATTCAACATTCTAATTTACAGTCCTCGTTCAGACTTTGAGCTGCTCATTAAGAATGTTTCAATCTGATCAATTAGGAAAAAAACGAAGCTCTTGCCCTCTTAAGAAAGGTCCCCGGTGCCCTGCAGAGGGTGTTGTACCTTTTCAGTACTACTTTCGCAGTGGCTTGCTGTACAGAAGTTCATGGAATTCCAATGGGCAAGGGCTGTATTTCTAGCTGTTAGAGTAAATTCTGGCCCATTTGTTACTCATATAAAGTCAAATCAGCTTACAAAGCGTTATTTCCTGGTAAGAAACAATTCATTCCAGGAGTGTTAATTAAGATCACAAAGACCGTGAGGCCATAGGATGCAAGGCCATTTGGTTATGTAGCCCATTGAGTCTGCCTCACCATTCAATGAGTTCATGGCTGATCAGGCAAACCTCAACTCCACATTCCTGCCTTATCTCCATAACCTTCAGTTCCCTTACTGATTAAAAATTTTCTATCTTGGCTGTAAATATACTGAAAAGTCCTCCACGGTAAAGCATTCCACTGATTCACCTCTGAGAAAATTATCCATATCTGTCTCAAAAGGGTAATCCTCTGGTCCTAGATTCTCCAACAAGGGAAACTGCCTCTCTGCATTATCCTGTCAATTTCCCTGATAATCTTGCATTTTGATAAGGTCCCCTCTTAGTCCTTTAAACTAAGAGTACGAGACCAATTTTTCATCATAAGAAAATCCCTGCATATCCACAGTCAATTTAGTGAACCTTCTCTGATCACCTCTAATGCCAGTATATCTTTCCTTGGATAAGGGGCTATGGTCTGACTGGAGTCTTGTTTAATTTTAACAAGACTATCCCATTTTAATACTCTGTTTGCCTTGTATATTACTTGAATGTGGATGCTAGCTTTTTCTGATTCATGCACAATCACCACCAAATTCCTCTGTTCAGCGGCTTTTTACAGTCTTTCCCCATTATAATCATATTCAGCTCTTCTATTCTAAATGCATTATCTCACGTTACATCTGCCAAGTTGTTGCCCACTCACTAATGCTATACATATGGATTCATTGTGTCATCCTCACTTCTTGGCTTCCTATCTATTTCTGTATTATCTGCAAACTTGACACTTGCTTCCATCAAAGCCATCAAAAAATTGCAAGTAATTGTGTTTATCCCTGTGGTATTCAATTAGTTAAAATAATGTTTTTCAATTAATTAACTCTGTCTACTATCAGTTAATTATATTAATACATTACCTCAGCACCATGGACTCTTGTCTTATCAAGCAGGCTTATATACAGTGTCTTATTGAACACCTTTTGAATGATTAGGACAATGAGTTGAAAGAACAGATGAATAAGCCACCAGAAAAGTGAGCTTTTACCAAACATTTATTTTGCATTGTGGGCATCACCCAGAAGATCAGCTAACCCTTGCATCAAAAGAGCTGAAAGGTACGAGGTGTCTCATCTAATTCCTTTGAGAAGGCGGTCTGTTGGGAATATAGAATAATTAGGGCAAGATGGAGAGCTCTCTCTTTCTAAGGTCCATGAGACAGGGACGATTAATGCAATGTGTTTAGCCTTTCACTAAAAAAAAATTTCTGATGTTCATTCTGTTTCCAAGTAAAATAAACCAGCTCATTTATAATTAGTTTCATGTCACTACAGTTCTTTTCAGCCATGTTTCATTAACTGGAGCATTTGGTCATATTTACAAGGATTGAATGTTTCTGATCCTCAAGTCATGCTATCGTTAGCTCAATATTGGACAGCAAACGAGCTCAGCTCATCATATGAATTTCAAAGTCCACATACAGAAGTTCTATAATTACTGATTCAAAATACAGAACCCATATTTACTCTTAGAAACAATTATGTGCATCACAAATTTGTCTTTGCAAATGCTTACCTTCCATAAAAAAAACACTCACCGTATCTCAGGTGCTGTGCAACATATCTGAAAACAAGCTGTTTACCCG